TTTGGATAAGAATTAAAATGAGAATAGCCAATTACCTAGCAATTTGGACCAAGAGTAAACTTGCTACCCAACAAGGAATGCAGCCACCTCCCTACCAGAAGGAGAGGCAGCAAATCCCTACCGAGGGTCTGAGCTTCCAGAAATTTAACACAAAATACCTGGTATTTCTCTAAAATCCCAGTTTCCTTTTAACAGTGCTTTCTGAGAAAATGGGTTAGAGTAAATGAGTGCAAAGTGGTTGTTTTAAACCCACTGAGCCATCTGTGACAGGTGCCCACAAAACAACTGAGCATCTACTCTGTGTAATTAGCTCTGGATTGACTGGCCCCAGGAACACCCACTCGGGACACTTCCAGAAATCGGGCATCTATTATTCCTATTTCCAATAAAATCTCTCCTAATATCCGTATTTTGGTTTGTAACTTCATTTCCCAATATTATGGGACCACGAGGTCCTTTCCTGCAGTAACACAACTGTAAACAGAGGTCTCGTGTAAAAAATTAAAGTGATAATTTTTTAAAGCTGTGTACGGAACTGAGGGTTTCCTCTAAAGCCCCTGCTCTCTCCAGACTGGTGTAGATACATTTATGCCAGGGGCTGACCAAGAAGGTATTCTGGACTGGCTGTGTCGGAGTTGAGACTGTATGCTGGGAACGCAGCACTGTCCCTGCTAAGCAAATGGGAAAACTTTTCAGATAATGATGCAGCACCAAAAGACCAGGAAGACCTCAGTGTCTGGACGCAAGCAGGGAGGCTGTAGATCGCCATGGCTGATTCTGATCACTTCCATCCAGAAGAGACCAGATTCCATCCCATCTCCAGCTCCCGTCCCACAACGTTACCATTGCGTGGCTTGAAGGTCTCCTAGAATCCTTTGAATGCAGCGCGCAGCTAGGAGAAATTACAGAAAAAGGTGGTCCAGGCAGCGGGGGATGTCACTCAAAGCCTACACTGTTGCTCCATCACACTCAAAGTCTGCACTGTTGCGCCATCGCACAGGAAGTGCCCTCCTCCCTGAGCCCACCTTATTGGGTAGTTCAGACAGGCCGCGCCTTCATCGCTGATTGGCTCCTTCCTGCTCCTTTGCAGCTCAGCTCAGCTGAGCGGGCCGGAGAAACAAACCTGGTTCTGGAGGGGTGGATCACAGGTGATAGCTCGCAACCCAGGGTCTTCTGGGTAGACTTCTGACAGTGTCCCACTTGTCAGTCTCACCTCACCTGAGGAACACTCGCATCTGGGGGCTGCATTCCTGGGTTTTCAAAGCTCTTGTGGTTTTCTTAGTGGACTCAGTGGACTCTTCCTGAAAATGGGTCACAAATGTGCTCAGAAGGTTCCAGGCTCAATGCCCTGATGTCAGAAAACATCGTGAGTCCAGGCCAGCCCAGGGCAAAATGGAATCCAGAGAGGGACTGCTGCTGGGAATGAGGCAGTTTCATTGCCAAAATTTTCACACTTTCTCTCAATCTACTTATTTTCATTCATGACAATGTATATACGGCCCCCAAAAGGAGTAGAATTATTGTGTAAATGAAGAAATTAGAGTTGCATGATAGCAATATTTGCAAAAGAGTAAAAAGGGGAAAAAAGCAAGCATTCCAAGTCTCTCAGAGAAGCTTCATACTTTATCCAGACACAGAGTTGACACAGAGTTGGGAAATGGGCCTTTTGGATAAGAATTAAAATGAGAATAGCCAATTACCTAGCAATTTGGACCAAGAGTAAACTTGCTACCCAACAAGGAATGCAGCCACCTCCCTACTAAAAGGAGAGGCAACAAATCCCTACTGAGGGTCTGAGCTTCCAGAAATTTAACACAAAATACCTGGTGTTTCTCTAAAACCCCAGTTTCCTTTTAACAGTGCTTTCTGAGAAAATGGGTTAGAGAAAATGAGTTCAAAATGGTTGTTTTAAACCCACAGAGCCATATAAAATGGCTCATACCTATAAATTATCTGAATTCTGAAGATAAACACATTTTCAAGTGTGAAGGCCAGAAATACTGCTGAAACATCCCCACATTTGATCCACCTGAGCTCTTTCTTGCCATGAGGCTGGGTACAAAAGGACTTTAGGCTCTAAGTTCATCTTGCCCTGTCCTGTCTCATCACGTGTTGAAATTCTTCACCTTTCAAAATTATTCTTAGAAAAAAATTACCTGGAGACAGGTGATACACTCGAGTTAATAATTTGTTTGGCTTGAGAGATATATAGGATATTAATAAAGCACACTTGTTGTGTCTGGGTGAATCATGACTGTGTGAACTAAGGGACCAAATTTGTGCACTGGTGCACTTCTCTCAGCTTATTTACTTTCTCTTTGGTTCCTGGATCTCTTAAAGTTTGTATCTTTATCCTTTATTTCTATTTACCAAGACATTTCTACATTAGAAGCAATCAAATCTAGACTATAGTCCCTGAAATAATGAGACAAAATAAAACTTTTCTTTTTATGCACTGTGCTATGATGTTTTTAATTCTTCTGGGAAGATACCTAGAAAAGAAATAGCTGGGTCAAATGGGACTTCTAATCCTAGGTTGTTTTTTTTTTTTTTTTTTTTTTTTTTAGGAATATCCACTCTGATTTCCACAGTGCTTGCAAGTAAAAATCAGTGGAGAGATTTCTTAAAATATTAGTACTAGAGGTCCCATTTGGCCCAGCTACTCCCCTTCTGGGTATCTTCCCAGGAGAATTAAAAACATCAGACCAAAGAAATATATGTGCACCCATGTTTATAGCAGCATAATTTGTAATAGGTAAATCTTGGAAACATCTCAAATGACAATTATACAAGGAATGGATAAAAAATGTGCTTTTTTATATAATGGAATACTACTCAGCCATAAAGAAAGACAAGCAAGACTTTTATAAGTAAATAGATGCAGCTACAGGCCATACTCATAAGTGAAATAAACCAGACTCATATGTGTAAATATCATATTGTCTCACTAGTGTGAGAATCTGAAATAGTAAACAAGATCTAAAAGGTACAATAGATATTGTGAATAGAGAATAAACTAATCAAAAGAAAAGAAAAACTGTGATGGGACAAGGGCAAAAGGATGGAAGGGTAAAGGAACATATGCATATCCAAGACATATGCATATCCAAGACAGTTAAGATAGCTATACATCTAGTTTCTCTTGGTACATTGAGGGGAAAGTTTTTACTTTTTTTTTTTTTTTTTTTTTTGAGACAGGGTCTCGCTATGCAGTTCAGGCTGGTCTTGAGCTCACTTTGTAGCCCAAAGCCTCGAACTCATAATGATCCTCCTGCCTCAGCCTCCCAAGTACTGGGATTAGAGACATGTGCCACCATACCTGACAAAGGGGAATGTTTCATGCTAGTAATGTTCTGAGCAATGTTTTATGTCTATATCTTGTACTCTGAACTACTACTGTGAATACAGAAATGTACAATGTGTTGAATATTTTCACTTTTTAACTAGCCTGTTTTAAAAATCTATTTTATGGTTATTTCTTGTTTTTTGTGCCTAAAATTTTTTAAAAAATCATTAAGACAATTTAATCATTAATGTGAAATGCAATATTACATCAGAGAATGTTAAGTTAATGATTCTTAATGGGAAAATAAGCAGAGAAAATGAAATAAATGTGCCTCTGGGTAGAAAAAATATAGAGCATAAACTATATAGTCATGTAAAAGGTGTTGCAAACCTCAGGAGCAAGAGACTAATCTATCTTTACTAGGAAAATGCAGCGCCTACCTCTGATCATATTCTTGTCAACAAAAGTCACCTCCGTGCCACAGAGGGTTGACTTCTAAGGTCCTTTTAAAACCAGTCACACTCATGTTCATCCAAATTCTTCTCATCCAAATAACTCATTGCACAGCCTCCTGGTTTAAGATGTGACCCCTCCTTCCACATGTTCAAGGAACAAACAGAAACATTTAGATGCTCTAGTAGCTCATGCTGTGCTCAGCTCACTTCTGTATGCCCCTGGCTGATCACTAGCTCCCTACAGGGATGTTTAAGTCTGGGCCCATACTGATGTCCCTTCAACCTGGCAATGTCCTTGGTGACTATGCTGCTCAGTATTAAGGAGCCCAGGCTTGTGGATGTGTCCTTGCTGAAGCACACTCGGGATTTAAGATTTCACTTACACCCAGTGTTTCCATGATTTAATTTCATACTAATCCTCTCCAGCCCCTTTCCTGAAGCCTGAAAGATGCAACTGGATAAAGATAATTCACAGATGGTGCAGGTGAGGAACAGAGTCTGCAAGGTCTTTACCAGGTGAGGTCCTCACTCCTGCAGCTGAACCTGGGACAGGACACCTGGGGACAAGGAGCATCCCCATCAAACACCATACTTCCCTTGTCCAGGTCCCTCCCTGAAACTCTGAGATGCTCACAGCAGAGAACTTCCATGAGGCAGTGGAGCAACCCCAGGGCATACATGGTCTGAGGCAGGCTTCTGAGAGGAGACAGGGGCTTGAACAGACAATCAGGGCAAATATTTGATAATATCTCTGTTCTCATTCCAAAGAACTATGGAAGAAGGTTCCTTCAAGGGTGGCAAAGGCAACCACATGTTCTCCATAGGTGACCTCTCTGTCCCCAATAAAGCACAAGGCACAAGTTGCTTTCATCACAACAGGCTTGGTCTTGATGGCTTTGAAGAGAAACTCTTTTTCTGGAATCTTTAATGTAAGTGTCAATAAGGAGAGAGTAAATTTCAGAATGTAAGTTTTCCATGGCCATTTGGAAGCCACAGAAACAGCAGGATTCTTTAATTTGAACTTCTTTGGCTGTCTTATACATCTACCAAATGTCATAGTACTCAATAAAGAAGATGAAAAATCATTCTTGAGGTCTTGCTGGCTAGGACTCCAGTCCCTCTAAGGGGCCAGGCTGTATTCTCCTTGCTGGCCAGGCTGAGTTCCTGCAGAAGGGACAGCTATAGCTGCTGCTAGTCTGCAATGGTGGCAACTGGGGCACAGAAAAAAAAGCTTGGTGATTGGTGGAGGAGCCAGGTGAAGAGCTGAGTAGATGAACCTCAGACAGTGACACTACAAGGAAAGCCTATATAGCACTACTTGAAAAAAATTTCAATGTGGGTCTTAAGAAAATATATGTCTATACAATCATGAGATTCCCATCATTTAGAAAGGTTGAGAAACAAACACTGTCCAAATGAATTCCAGAGGAGGGTAAGAGTAACAAGGACACTTATTCCTAGGTAAAGGAACTGTGTATATATATATATATATATATAGTATGAAAGGAACTTTGGGATATTCTTATGGAAGTGAAGCTAATGACAGAGCACAAGATCTGAAGAGTTTGCTCACCTAAGCTGAACACGATGTTCTCATACAGCCCACAATAGCCTTCCATCACCTTTATCCCTTTCAACTCTCCATACTGGGTGAAGATTGCTTATAGGCACTGTAAGGACTCGTTGGTCTCTGTGTTCCCCAGAAGAAAACAGCAAGGGGATTTAGAAAATAAAGACAAGAGACAAAAGTCGAGGTCAGGTGAGGCCTCTTTACCAGATGGACAAGAGGACTGAATAACAACAGTAGTGATGTGTATTTATATTCTTACAAAGTTAGCATCATAAGACACAAGGTTACCTAGCAACGAATGACTGAAATTGTCCAGGCAGGATACTTTTCTCAAGACTGAGGTAATTTGAATGCTTTAGCCACTCTGGCTCTGTCGTGCCTTCACATATATGACCAATTTCCAGCTTCAGCCACTCCCAACAAGGCACACCTGGGGTATCCAGAGAAGGCTTAGAAGAAAGAAGGAGGATTCAAACCATCAGCAACAGCCCCTATGCAGCAGAGGATGAAGAGATTTCTAGGGAGGAACACAAATGCCAGCAGGGCTACAGGTGCTCAGCTTTGCAGATTCCACCAGTCAGAACCTCCGCCCTTCATTCACCCTGAGGGCACCTTTGTAACCCAAGTTTCATCAGTCCTGCTCCTGGTTTTCACCCAAATGAGCTGCATACAT